AACAGCTTGCTTTTACACTCGTGATCGCGCTGCTCCAATTTGGCTCACCGCCTCACCGCTGACGGCAAGGCATGTTAGTTACGAGCAGTGTTGCGCGCCGGTATTATAATTCTATGGCGCTTCTATCGGCGGACAAATCCAGGGGATTCATTGCCATCGACAGGGGTTTGAACGGAGTAGCGCCGATTGCTAGAGCCGGAGAGGATTTCTAGAACGTTGAGTACCATCGAGCAACAGAAGCGCATAAGATGATGGTCGCCTCAGTTATGTATTGATCTGCTCGATATTAGGCGGGTCTTGTGCGCCTCTCACATAACATCGGTCATTATATCATTTTCATGATTTGATACCGAGGAAAACATGCTCTCGCAACGCAAACCGACGCACATGATATAGGCAGAGGAAAATTGCAAAACATATAGCTCGCTACACTGAGTTTCCTTACACCCAGGTACTGTTTCACGGTGTATTGCTGACCATGATTGTGATAGATTATAAGCGCGAGCAGATGTCATATCAGCTATTCATAAATAATTCCAAAATAATCATGTTCTATCAATCCAAGCATCCAGAAACAGCCAGCCAGAAACAAGCCAAGCATCAGCAGCTGGTAGTCATGACAGGTATCTTGTTCATATACCGCCTAAAATTCCCCATTTATCACCTTCATTTAACATTTTGACACGAGACTACCTAATGTATCGAGCCCATTATAAAACACCCCAGCTCTGAACCATCCCTCCCCATCTCCTCATTTCCATGTTTGCGAGTAGTTTCCACCCCCGCTGACGAGGCGGGAGGTCGCATTTACAATCACTCTAGCTTAGAGCACTTCCCAGTTGTCTGCGTGAGTCAGCTGACCCCTGCGACACGCATCGGTGACCTCTCACCTGCTTCAGTCGACCCACGGGCCACGGCACAGAGAGACAACTCCGGCAGGTGGGCACTCGGCATGGTTACCGTCCTGACCTCGCAAATTGACGGTTGTGAGTCCCCCTGCCCGTCCAGCTTCGGTAGTTCTCAGTGTTTTGGTGATGGTCGTTTTCGTGCCATGGATGGGTGGCTATGACGGTAGTGTGGGCGGGGACGCAGGGGGAGGGGCAGACAGGTGATGGAGGAGGGGGACCCACGTGACCTTGTGCGATGTGTAGGGCCCAGCTGGCCTCTGACACAGTCAGCTGATTGCAGGTGCAAGGGTAACCCGTACACTGTGCAGTGCTTGACGGCAACGGGAATCTTGATAGAGATAAGACATGGGAGTTGTAAGGGTGTGTGGGCGGGGGAAGGGGGAGTGAATCGTGCACAACTGGTGTTTATGTATCTAGGTGTATGTCGTTAGCTCTACTGTTTTAAGATCAAAGGTCCTAAGGGATTAATATTCATAGATAGGGTTCCAGAGTCAGGTCTGCGACACATTGCGCGAAATCACCAATATTCAACCGCAAATACCGCCAAACTATCCAAAGGCTATCAAGTGAATTATTTTGTCATTAGTGGCAGCACCAGTCCGCAAGTGAGATTGATGTATGATGCTCCCTAATCTACCTTTACTGATTCGGTGACGTTATGTGTAATGCGGCAGATTATCGGGTTCAGCCCAGTGCGTGGGAACATTCACTGCATTTGACTCCACGATGTGCAGGAGTCAGGAGATAGCCAAGGTATCACAGGCAACCCAGTTATATCAGAATACAACGGCAGATTAGTTGCGTTCCTTACGTTTCAGCGTTTCACAACGAACCAAAATAATAAATGCTGCCCTAGAAATGTTATAACAGCTTGTACGCTCTCTTTTCATCCGCCAGGGTTCTGTAAACGACTGAAAACACCACGCTGCCCCTATTACGCTAAGCAGTTTCACCAGCTACAGCAAATATAATCGAAATATAAAGCATTGCTTTCAACATCCTTTCACAAGACTACAAAATAAAGCCCCGTACACTTCATTATTTTTCCACGGTAAGAGTGGAACTTGAATACCCTGCAGCTCCCCGATCCGCCCTCCACTAGCGGCGCCGTAGACGACAAATATTATATGAAGCACGTCGTACGAGCGGTGCGCCGCTCCTGGCCGGTGGTAAACTTTGCTTCGGAGAGGAGGCTGGCAGAGAATCGGGAAATCCTGGAGAACGCCCCAGGGAAAATGGGCCGCACACTCATCCGGCCTGTGCAATATCTCATGTGCACTGTGCACTGTGCAGTGTACAGTGTACACTGTACATTGTGCCAAGGCCATATATGTAAGCATTGTGCGATGCGTCCAGCATTCTCAATCCTATAGCCTATATCTTAGATGAAGCTATGTATTTACAAAGCAACAACTATTTTTAGACGAATCAAAAAGGTATCTTCAAAGCATTTTCAGTTTAAATCTTCAATAACAACATTATTCATTTAATAAAACCACATTTTCTTCCAGAACGTTTCTGAGTAAATCACCATCGTCAGCCCACCATTCACCATAAAGCAGTCACAGATACCTTCCTCACGCTCACGTGCCAGTGTGTGGGAGTCGCGACCGCTTCCCTCCCACACCTGACACCCGAGCGTCGAACGTGGCACAGAAGGGCACGCGCCGAGTGGCGGCGTCACTTCTTTACCGCAGCCCATGAATTGGTAAACAAGAGTCAAGGTGAGAGGTCAGAACGAGCTGGGCTGTCGTCGAGCTGTGATGAATTCGTGTTTCTCCGACGGCGAATAGTAATTCGCTGGCTGCTCGGCCTAGACGGGCAGGCGATGATCGCCCCCGTCACGCTTGTGGAAGGTGGGAGTGATGAGGTGCGGGAGAGTGGTCCCGAAGAAGCTATCGTCGCGCCAGGCACAGGAGCGACTGCGGGGCCCCGGAGCGGAACAACCGAGAATCAGAGCTTACAGTTTCGGCCGGTAGGAGCCGCAACGAGGACTAGTCAGCAGACTGTGAAGTGCGAGTGGCGAACAATGGTAATCACGCAGCACGGCATGGTAACATCTGACACCGTTCCGTGCTTCTCTCCTCAGGATACAGAAATCCTTTTCCTCCACGCCGCAACCCCCCTCCGGGCTGGACAGGCAACTTTATCTCATGCGGGCTGCTCCCTTGGAGCGGCACCGCTGCTCCCGAGGGAGCGCACCCCGTAGCCGGGTGCAGTGAGTGCCTTGGGGCTGAGTGGCTTGTCCTCTGGACGGGCTCAGCCCCGGCGACTCACTAGGGTGCCTGCCCAGACCAATGTCTCCCCCTATATCCTATCATCATCCCGGCTCTGAACTGGTCTAATTGGACCGAAAAGGCCTAACCCAACAAAACAAAACAAATAACATCTGACCCGACTGGAACCAAGACTGACGAATTCAAATACCCAAGCATTTAGTTCACAATGCAGGAACTGTATGCGCTTTCCGTGATAGGGAATGGGATGCCGAATGCACCTTGCCGACTTACCGTTGAATTATAAATGTGCCTACCTACCTGCCTTTACCGAACGGTTTTGCCATTTCTGTACATGATAGAAATTACTTATGATTGATCAAGAGTGACTTATGAAAATTGATGCAGCCTCTCTATGCAACTGAATTTCACCGACTAATTGTTAGCTTGATTTTGTCAATTTAACCGGCAACATTAACAACGCTCCTTCCATAAGAATGTTCCTCAGTGCCGAGGTGTCTGAGTTTAGTACATATAAAAAGCAATTCAAAATATACAACTTCTGATCTCAGTTTGCAATGATAATGTATGTTGCCAGGCGTACGCATGCTGAATAGTTATACTCACGTCGCGAAGGAGAGCATTGATATTGAAGCCGGATCGTGAGGATTGCAGTGAAAGAGCTTTAAATCCCACATGTAGCACCGATCCAACACTTGAGTGCCGATCGAAAGCCATCCCATCAGTGTGACATGCCGGTGCATTGAACAGGATTTGTTAGAGCACTGGGCGATGTAATCTGGTATCACCATCTGGCAATAGAATGCCTATAGCAGCTGCCACCTAGGGGCATTGCACTGATCTGTCGCTGGGTGCAAATATGTACTAGAGGATATTTTCTAATTTACTGTGGTACCTAGGTGGCAAAATATTGCTTAATAACCTGTTCCTCTAACTTCCGAGTGTATCATTGTAAAAAAATATTTATTATATATAACCGTTAAAAGATCACTTGCTACCACAAAAGTCAGCGCCTAATCATTTGACAAAGTAGTCGGCAACTTTTTGCCAAGTTGGAGTGGCGATATCGGAGAAAAGGTTGATAATCTTTAGAAACAATGCATTGAGCGCAGAAGCAGTGCGCAAACTTCACCAAATACCAAGAAAATTTAGTTGAAAGGTCGACACTGACCCCTAATAGTTGGAATACTCTACGCGTTGTTATAAAATGAAATCAAAGCTCTATTTGCACTTCACAAGCCTGCTATAGTGATTGTTCAAAAGCAGCAATATTTTATCAGCATACTGAGACCTGCAAATGCATATGGAGCAACTCCTGTGGGCAACTTTAAACAACAGGCCACAACTTCAGACGCAGACACCGCACCAGCCTATCTCTGTCCACGCATCTTTCCCGTGTGCCGGCTTGTCCAAGTTTAACACCACGTGACCAGAACACTTGCATTCGAGATGAGCGCGAGCACAACTTCTGCGGACTACTTTGCATACCGGCGGTGACTCTGTCCCGGATCTGTACCAACCAGTGGGCCGGCATCAGAACCTACCGCACGGCCTGACCTCTGCCACGCCCCTCCCACGTCCCCCTCCACAATGGACGCGACATTAGGACATAACCTATGGCACTCAAAACCAGACCACCCTGGTAAGAAACTATAACCTCTCAAAACTAAAACTTTTCACAGGGCCTCTGTGGTGCGTGTCATACAGCGAGTCAAAAATAACAACCTAGCACGTGTCTCCCTCTTCTTAGCAAAGGTGGTTGAATGCTGATGATTTTTTTCCAAACCAAACGTACTTTAAGAGCATCAAGCCCCGCGAGGCCTCACCATCGGGCAGGAGTGCCGCGGGGACTGACCTGATTCGTCCGACTGTTCCACCAGCTGCTGGGCCTGCTGGTAGGTGACCGTCATCAGGTCGAGAGCGGCTCGCGCAGAGTCGTCGGGCCCGATCCTCGCCAGCACTGTGGTCAGGCTGAGGCGACCTCCCCCCGCAGTGGACTCGTCCGACAGCACCGGGTTACGGTTGGAGTCGAGCGGCAGCGCCTTGGACTCGACCAGGATGGGCACACGCAGGGCGTGCTGAAGTGCCTCGGTGACGGCCAGAGTGTCTCCTCCGCCGCCTGTGTCCAAGATGAAGATGCTGCTGGAGGTGGGTGGGTCGACGGGCGCGCGCCGGTGGGACGCCGTCTCCGTCACGGTGGCCGCCTGCGGAGGAGACGCAGTTAGACGCTTTAGTTTAGGACGTGGTCTAGAAACACAGAAAGACAAGGAATCAGGTAGAGTGATGATGGGAAGAGTAGTGGGAAACGGCTAAAGGCAGGGACTGGGAGATGGTTGGTCGTCGAAATAGTAAACGGAAAGAGGTCAAACGCAGAAATTAGCTACTGCCTCGTATTTAGGACAACTGGATCTTTTGAAACAAGTTGTATCTAGTCGTAAGCTTCTTACATGCTTTACCTATTACTTTCGAAAAAAAATTGAAACGCACTTCAAACAAATTTGCATTCGAAGCTGTCCAGAAGTAAATAAAATTGTATCAAAGTTCTTAGTAAACCAAAAATAGCGCGCGACTAGAGTACATATGGGATATTTGACCGAATGGTCATGATCTCCGGCCGACACACGCAGCTCTCCGTTCCATACCAGACATCACCACCAGCCCTGAAATGGCGTGCACGGTTCACTCGACCATAGTAAGACAGGTGGCTACATTGGGACCGGCCCACCCCTCCATTGTCTGAGACTGGGTGAGGCGGAGTCAGAGCGTGCCTCGGGGGACGCACCGTTCAACCGTCGCTGTCAGGAGCGACGGTCGTGTCCTGAGCGTGCGTCGGCCAGCTACGAGCGTGAGTGTCGGCCGTGGCCGCCCATATAATCCAGTTAGACCAACTTTCGGCGCTGCAGGAGGCGTGATGGTCGTGTTTTTGTAGGGAGCAGAGATTTTCGACCGCAGAGGAGAGGTGCAGAAGAAATACGGGAGGGAGAGAGAATAGAGATGAAGAGAGAGAGAGAGAGAGAGAGAGAGAGAGAGAGAGAGAGAGAGAGAGAGAGAGAGAGAGAGAGAGAGAGAGAAGGAGAGAGAGAGAGAGAGAATGGAGATTGGAGATGAAGGGAAAGATAGAGACAGGGAAGAGACAGAGAAGGGAATGACGTCCTTACCCAAACGATGCAAGAATCATAAGAGTCAAATATTATAAAATTATTGAGTATTAGGAGACGTTAAGAAGAGCAGAGCAAAACAAGGCGTAATAGTTCACCAACACCGATCATAGCATCAGTTTGCCGACGCATACTACCCCTGACTAAACGTTTCTCTGACACAATGATCTATAATTGCATCTATCATTGTATCATTGTATCAGATACACCTATGATCGAGCCAGATGTTAGCTGGAATGGGACCAAGCCAGGCTGCATTCATCTAATGCGGCCTGCAATTACCACTGCAATAAATATGAGATAGTTGCATCGGTATGCGTAAAGAAGATAGGTCGTTCACACGAGTAATATCACATGAATAGTTGGCTGGAATATCGATAAATGAACGATCAGAGAGAAGCGGGATGAAGACCGTGCACAAGTTCGTCTTATTTTCACCGGCCAATGATTTACGGCACAACGCTTCTGCTGGCAACGAAGAACGCACGCCTCCAAACTGACAAAGCGGGACAGAGACGTGCCCTCCATTTGAAACAACTCTGATTGGAGCCAACTAAGGTAACCGAGAAAAAAATGTCGGGAAAGAGGGGAGAGCATGATGATCCAGTCAATTCTTGTATTCTGCTTGGAGCAATTAACAGTTATATACTGACAACGCTTCACGATAGGCGTTATCACAAGTGTATTCGCGGCCATTGGGGCGACGTAAGAAAAGAAGAAAACAACTGGCTCCAGGAACTTTAAATTATCAGTTAGCATGCATCTTTTCCTTGATCTGTAGAGAATTTATCATTAATTGCTAGAGAAAATTGCATTTTAAATCTTCCATCTATGCTTTTTTCATCGTTTGCACAATATGTTCTTTTATTAAGCTAGAAATACTAATTAGAAATAGTTCCCGCATCATCAAGAACAATAGGGAAGGCTTGAAGTGAATACAATAATCTAAACGGTGTTGTAATCTATGAGAAGACACTTCTAAAATTGCCTGTAGAAATATTGAAGGCAAAAGTTCAACTTTTTCACAAGACGGATGTCTATAAACCAATTCAACGTGTGACAACTCAGCCGGTATTTCGTCGCCTACAGCCCAGCTTTCCCTATTGACCGATAGAGGCGCTGCTATCGATGTCCGCCCGTGCCGCCTAACGATTATTTACCAGTCCATCCACCGACTACATTTCCCACCACTTCAATCAGACCGGACCCACCTTCCCCAGGACCCTGATCCGTGCACCAGCCTATATCACCAGCCCCAGCACGGCGAGGGCTCGTTTTACGGACGTGAAAGCTCCCGTCGCGCCGGAGAGATTGTCCGGTAATTGTTTACAGCGAGCGGCCAAAGGGCTGCACCCACGCACCGTGTGCTTGTTTGCTGCCACTCGACGAGCGCTGGGTCGGCGAGCGCTCGCCGACGTTCGCTATTTCCCACACACATATGGGCTGATTCTGAGCGAGGAACTGCCGAGCGTAATGAATTGTTTCTTAATTGGTACAAGGTCGTGTATTTATGGGTTGTAAGGAATATAGCCCATGATGCGTGCGTCTAACTACGAGTACACTCAGTTGTTGCAGCTCTTAATTAGGTTATATTGTTTTGATCAATCGGGCTTCTGGCAAAAAAAGTATTTCTGACGCAAGACGACCTGTGGTTTTAAATCGGGAAAGAGTTTTTTTGTGGTTTAAAAAAAGCGGGAAAGTGGTTTTGAATGGGACTACTTCGGAGCGAGAACGTCTATGTAGTTGAATGCATGTAAATGCATCTTAAACCAATTCAAGATGGAATAGTCTAAGATAGTGGTAAGTGCAGTGTCGCCACGTGTCCTCTGGTATTTCACACGCCAACGACACTTATTTAGCCGGATGATAGACAAGGACTGTAGGAGAGCGATGGGTAGATCAGGATGGTGAGGAAGACGCCAGCCGCTGCCCGATTCCAGCCTCTCGATGGCGAGACCACTGTAATCGGACAGATCAACCGATACTCCGGCGCCTCGATGGCAAGGTTAGCCGGAGCCGACTGGTCGCACCCCTGTCTGAGCGGAGACCCCGCACCCGAGCCTCGATGGCAAGACCCGGGGAACGAGTTTAAGCTCAGTGACTCGATGGCGAGACACTGTGGCCGCCTCCCTCACACACCCCGGAAGAGGCCGTGTTATGAGTCCCGGATGAAAGGAAATGATCGGCTACTCGCACGCTGAGAAGACTCGCTGCTGTTCACTGTCGCGTCCCCTTTTCCACTGGTCCAGCTCCTCTCCACACCAGTTAAGATATTTTCACTTGCTGTATTGTGCACCACCACCACACCACAGCCAGAACACCACTTCCACCCACACAGCGAGCACTTCTCCGCCGAGCATCCAGAACGAACTACCCTCAATAACCGCGCGCTGACCCGAGGTCACCTCGCATGCGCCCCGAGGGCAGGAGCCCACACAACCAATCACAGGGCCGCTTACAATGAGCCAGCTCAGTGCCGGCATAGCCCCGAGCGCCACGTGGTCGGCCGGCCGCCGCATGGCCCGCTCGGTGGTCCCGGGTGGCCCGGCCTGCAGCCGCCGGTGCTAACATCCCCCCGCACCGTGTTGCACTGCAGGGCAACACTCACGAAAGGTAACCGGCGTGCTGCCGTACTACATCGCGTCGCTAACACATATAAACCATTTCACATTCCAACAAAAGCGATGCTATTTCTTCAAACACCAGCAAAATACAACATGACACAGAAAAAAATAAAAACACTTCCACTTCGTTAAGCAAAGATTAATGATGGGGATCAGTGGTATATCCCCACCGACGCACCAAGGCGACTGGCGACGTCGTCGCTGCTAGACGAATCGCTGCCGCCCAAGCAGAAACCGCCACATCCGAGGAAGCTACCGCCCGAGCTGGTGTAGCCGAGGAGGTAGCCGCCACCGGTGCTGAGGCGGCTGAGGAGGCCACCGCCACCTGCGCCGAGGCCGCTGCAGCGCTCGCGGAGACTAATGCCTCCCACGCTGGAGATGGAGGGACGCTGGAGAGCCTCCAGACTCAGAGGACCCTTGGTCCTCTAGTGCTTGATAGCGATGTGTCAGGATCGTGTAAACCCCGCTGGTTTATCTCATGGTTGCGGAGATGCCGATGTGTTGTCTCTCCCAGCCCCTCGATGGCGAGGCCACTGGGAGCAGACGGAAGGGTCGATGGTGTTCGGCCTCTCGTTGGCGAGATGACCTGGGCGTCACTTGATTCCGACGCCAAAGTCACTGACAGTCCTCTTCTAGGAAGCATAGCTTGATTGCAGGTCTGGCGTAGATTCTCCCGCCAGAGGTTCTCAGTTCAGCAGACCTCACTATGCCGTCTTCTCCAGGAAATACTCTTGTGATACGAGCCAATGGCCACGACCCCCTGGGCATATTTGTGTCTGTCATGAGAACCAGATCCCCCTCGCGTAGGTTTCTGGTTTCTCGGTGCCACTTGCTTCTGCGCGACAAAGTAGGCACGTATTCTCGCGTCCATCTCCGCCACACGTGCTCAGCGACTGCTTGAGCTTGTCTCCAACGCCGACGACTGCTCAAGTCTCCCTTTCTTGTCAGAGCTGGCGCTAGATGATGAGAAGCGTGACCCAACAGAAAATGATTGGGTGTGAGCGCCTCGGCGTCAGTTGGGTCGGAGCTTACGTAGGTAAGCGGCCGACTGTTCACCATGTGTTCAACTTCTGCAAACACGGTCAGCAGAACTTCATCCGTCAATACCTGTGAGCCGACTACAACTTGCAGGCACGTCTTTACAGATCTGACCATGCGTTCCCACACCCCACCCATGTGGCTTGCGGCTGGTGGGTTGAAGCGCCAGTCAATTTCGTAGGAACTCAGTTTCTCTGGCATCTGCGCCAGAACCCCTCGGAGCTCTTGACGAAGCTCACGGTTGCTGCCGACGAAGTTTGTCCCACGGTCTGAGAAGATGACTTCCGGCTGCGATCTGCGAGCAAAGAATCTTCTGAGGGCCATGATACAACTGTCTGTATCTAATGAGTGGGCCACTTCTAGATGTACAGCTCGCGTCGCCAGACAAGTCACCAACAGTCCGTATCGGGTCTCTGTTTTCCTGAATCTCTTCACATGCAGCGGCCCGAAGAAGTCAACACCAGCGTTTCGAAATGGCCGTCCAGCTTCGAGTCTCTCCCGAGGGAGATCAGCCATCCGCGGTGGCACAGGGGCGGCCCTGCGACGGCGACAGAAGGAGCAGTCACGAAGCTGCGCCTTGATGGCTGAGCGTCCTTGCGGAATCCAGTACTTCTGGCGCACCAAGTTCAGCGTGTGCTCAGCTCCTGCATGACCATGACGAGTGTGTTCGTGCTTGATGACAAGCCGAGCCAGCTCACTTTGCCGTGGTAGGATGATTGGGTGTTTGGCTTCCTCCGAGATGCATGCCTTGCCGATGCGTCCCCCGACTCTGATCAGGCCGTCCTCGTCCTGAAACGGGGCCAGAGGAAGCAGAGAACTGGACGAAGGCAGCGGCCGTTGCTGCGTCAGACAGCGCACTTCTTCAGCATAGGACTGCGCCTGTTCCCTGGCAACGACCCACACCTCCGCTGCTTGCAGTTCCGAACGTGAGAGTGGTCCGGTGGCCTTCGGCAGCTGTCCTGAAAGACACGCCTTCATGTTGCGCGTAAAGCGCATCATCCATCCAACGACTCGCTTGAACTTCCCCCAGGATGAAAACCTCGCTGGAATCGGTTCCTCTGATGTGCACTTGGTAGTCGTGAATATCAGCGCGTCCCGCATCTCTTCATCCTGTGCCAGCTGGGCTAGCTCCTCTTGAGGTGGCCACTGGCTGACGTCCTCCCTCAAGAAGGTGGGACCCGTCAGCCACCTGCCGTCCTGACTGAGCATGAGCACCGAAACCCCTCTGGAACAGTCGTCAGCGGGGTTGAGCTTCCCAGGAACGTGGAGCCAGCACGCGTTATGGGTCAGCTCGTGAATCTCAGCCAGTCGGTTGGCCACGAAGGTCTTGAACCGTCGGGTTTCATTACCAAGGTACTGCTGAACGACCTTGCTGTCCGTCCAGCAGAAGATGTCATCCGGTGGCTGAGTGATCTCACCGAGGACGGTAGCCACCAGACGCGCTCCAAGAACGGCTGCTTGCAGCTCCAGACGGACAATTGATAGTCGCTTCAGTGGAGCGACTCGGCACTTGCCGATCAGGAAGCGACAGTGGTGTAACCCATCGCTCGAAGTTGTCCTCCAGTATGCCACAGCGCCGAACGCACTCTCTGACGCATCGCAGAACACATGAAGTTGGCGTCGCAGTGTCCCTGGGCCGCTGGGGTTCACGCAGCGTTGCATCACGACTTCGTTCAGCTTCTCTGCTTCACTCAGCCACTCCAACCATTGGCTCAGCTCAGGTTCGGGTAGTGGCTCGTCCCACTCCAGATGTTTCCACCAGAGTCGCTGCATCATCATCTTTGCTCTCACGGTAACAGGAGCAGCAATCCCCAGAGGGTCAAAGATTGTTGACACTTTGCTGAGCACACCACGCTTGGTTGCACTCACTTCTTTGGCTTGGAGACGAAACCCCAATGTGTCCTCGTCTTCCTTCCATGCGATGCCCAGCGTCTTTTCAGCGGTGTGCGAGCTCCTGAGACATAGGCTCGCAGAGGCGCTGGCTCTCTCACTCTCTGGAACACCTTTCAGCACAGCGGGGGAACTGCTTCTCCACTTCGTGAGGTGAGATCCTCCTCTTTCCAGTGCCTCCTTCACGTCAGCGTACAACTGTTTGGCGGCGTCTTCCGTCATGCAAGAGAACAGGCAATCGTCCATGTAGAACGACTTTGCCAGTTGCTCGGGACTTCTGCTGAGAACCTTGTCTGTCTCCACTCCATAGTCCAGAAGTGCCTTTCTCAGCACGTAGTTGGCCGTTGCCGGTGATGACTTCGCGCCAAAGATGACCACCTCCATCAGATAGACGTCAGGCTTGCGGTGTCGCTCCATATCTCGCCATAGAAAGCTCGATGCAGGCTGGTCTTCTGTCCGGATCCTCACCTGATGATACATCTGCTTGATGTCCGCTGTCACAGCGATCAGACCTTCCCTGAAGCGCATGATCACCCCAGGAAGGCTTTGTAGTAGATCTGGACCTGTGATGAGCTTCGAGTTCAGTGATACACCTTGGTATGTTGCCGCAGCGTCGAAGACGATTCTCAGCTTCCCTGGCTTGTTCGGGTTCACTACTGCGTGGTGTGGCAGATACCAACGCTTCTCCTTCGGTTCGTCCGCTTCTTCTGCTGAAAGCTTCCTTGCGTGACCATCCTTCACATATCCGTCGATGATGGCTTGGTACCTTGTAGCCAGTTCTGGCTGCTTGTCGAGTTTCCTCTCGATGGACTGAAGACGTCGGTACGCTTGGTTCCAGTTGTCCGGCAACATCGGTTCGTCTTCACCCCACAGAAGTCCAGCTTCATATCTGTCCCCCACCTTCCTGGTCTGCTGATCCAAGATTCGCATAGCTCTGAGATCTTCTTGAGATCGTGCATCAGAGCTGTTGATCATGGTGCCGAAGGCCTCGGTCGTCCACCAGTCTTGGACCAACTCTTGCAGACCCTCCAGAGCGTCTTCGGGAGCACGTTGACGCACGAACATGACTTGCCGCATTGTGCTTGGAATCAGGGTGGATATCGATCCCGTCAGGGTCCAGCCAAAGTCTGTCCGGATAGCGACGGGCATTCCGGGGCCTCCCACCCTGACCTCTCGCTGCAGCACAGCTTCCAGAATGTTGGCACCAAGTAGAAGCTCGACGTGTGCGCCGTTGTACTGCTGTAGGTCCAGGTCCTGCAAGTGCTTCCAGCTGCGAAGCTGCTTGCTACTCACGCTGGGTGGGGCCACGTTCAAGCTTGGCACAGACCACACCTCGGGCACGACGATTCGATTTCTGCTGGTCGCTGTGCTCAGAGGACTGACCGTCAGCTGAACTCGAAGAGACGACTGTCTGGTACCACTTCCTTCGATGTTCTGTAGCTGCAGATTCTCTCGGACTCCTGGAACCCCAATCTCTTCCAGGACATCTTCACAGCAGAGCGATGTCTGCGCTCCCGGGTCCAGCAGTGCTACTACGTCTCTCTCCCCGTTTGGGCCGTGAATCCGCACCGGCACCAACTGCAGCAGTGTGTCTGTCGTCTCTGTGAGAGCCGTGCCAACGATGCGACTTCCTCCTCGTGCCTCTGTTTTTGGTTCTGTTTGGTTTTCTTTATCACCAGCAGCGCTTCTGTCCACATGTATGAGTCGGTGATGAGATGCATTACATCCATTCAAGTTGCATCGTCTTGCAGAGCGGCAATCCCTCATGAAGTGGCCCTTGTTCAGGCAGCCCCAACACAGCCGTTCCTTGCTCACTACGACCAGCCTCTCCTCCACCATCTTCGACTTGAACTCCGTGCAATCCTGAAGCTTGTGCTGTTCCTTGCACAGGACACAGAACCAGCGACGTCGGTTGTTTTCCGTCTGGGAAGACGTGGCCGACGTAGTCAGAGTTGTTCGTCGCGCCGAGGTCTCCCGTGCACTCGCGGATGGCCTTTTTCTTTCTGGATCGCGGTTGTGGTTGGCCGAGTTTCTCAAGATGGCAGTCTCTGTCTCCAGCCACTTGCTGAAGATCTCCAGATCGGGCTGCTTGGGATGCATCTGATGCACTTCTCGTCCCCACTGGTAGGACAACTCCGCAGGAAGCTTCAATGCTACTCGACGCAGGTTCTCGATGGCTCTCAGATCATTGTAGTGGTTCAGAGCGCGCAGCGTCAGCACAGTGTTGCTGACAGCTGAACTGAACCTCTCCACTGAGGCGATGTTGTTGATTGAAGGAGCTGGAGTCGTGAACATGGAGCTGAGATATGCTTGGCTGATGTCACCTTCTCGACCAAAACGCTCGTGCAGCCTTGCCAACGCCTGGTGATACATCCTGCCATCGAACAAGAATCCCTCGATGGCTTGATGGGCGACTCCATCTACTGCTTGTTGTAGATGCGCCATCCGCTCCGTGTCAGAGAGAGACGCCTGATCGTGAACCAGTGCTCTGAAGAGACTGATCCAGCGCGGCCACTCACTTGGTTCGCCTGTGAACCGCGGCAAATTAAGACGTGGAACACTGTTGGTAAAAGCTGACATTCCAGGAGGTGGATGCCCGTGCTTCTCCTGCTCTTTGCTGTTTGATGTCCAGTTGTCTGGGTTCAGAAATGAACCATCCACCTCCACTTCCGGAGCAGCTTTAGGTCCTTGTGGTCTTGGACCAGGCACATTGTCGGGTACGCTCGTGCAATGCGGTGGTTCGGCGGCTTGATCTACCCCCGCACCTTCAGCAGATCCCTTTCTTCCTTTGGCAGCTGCTTCGTCGAAATCATGCCGACGATCCCAGTTCAATTCGTCTTCCGCAGCCTGATACATGTGTAACTTCCGAGCAGCTCTGTCGCGGGCCTCTTCGGCTATTCTGAGCTGTAGCACCCTGTTCCGCTCCTCCAGAAGACGGCTTTCTTCCAGCTGAGCTCTGATGTCATGCAGCTTCCGATCAGCATCCTCCAGCTCCACAGCAGCCTCTCTGGATCGAACTGACACAGCGGTGCCCGCTGACGTGTGTGACTTGGCACGACTTCGAGTGTGACGGGAGGTGGCAGCTGATGATTTGGCTTCATCCAACTCTTGAAGGTACAGCTGGATCTTCCCCTGGATCAACAATTCCTCTTCTTCGAGGCGATCGGCATATTCTTGAGCTTCTTGGAGTTCGTCGTCTCCAAGTTTGCTTTCATAAGTCTGATGCACCTTTCTCAGGTCGGCGAAGGCTTCTTCCAGCCTTGTGCTGATGTGCTCGATACGATCGCGGGTCGCTTTTCTTGACAACTCGACCTCAACCGCTTTGCTGACCCTGGTCGCAGCAGCCCTCTTGCAACCACGCTGCCGGCGCAGATCAGCAAGCTCCTGCTCTCTGATATCACTAAAAGCTCCATCTGCAGTCGGATCGGGCCGTTTAACATCCTTTGCCTCTTCTTTTTCTATCCCCATCTTCTCCTGTTCAGCTCACTGGTCGCAATCCGGCCCGCGGAGGACCAGAAATGTCGCCACGTGTCCTCTGGTATTTCACACGCCAACGACACTTATTTAGCCGGATGATAGACAAGGACTGTAGGAGAGCGATGGGTAGATCAGGATGGTGAGGAAGACGCCAGCCGCTGCCCGATTCCAGCCTCTCGATGGCGAGACCACTGTAATCGGACAGATCAACCGATACTCCGGCGCCTCGATGGCAAGGTTAGCCGGAGCCGACTGGTCGCACCCCTGTCTGAGCGGAGACCCCGCACCCGAGCCTCGATGGCAAGACCCGGGGAACGAGTTTAAGCTCAGTGACTCGATGGCGAGACACTGTGGCCGCCTCCCTCACACACCCCGGAAGAGGCCGTGTTATGAGTCCCGGATGAAAGGAAATGATCGGCTACTCGCACGCTGAGAAGACTCGCTGCTGTTCACTGTCGCGTCCCCTTTTCCACTGGTCCAGCTCCTCTCCACACCAGTTAAGATATTTTCACTTGCTGTATTGTGCACCACCACCACACCACAGCCAGAACACCACTTCCACCCACACAGCGAGCACTTCTCCGCCGAGCATCCAGAACGAACTACCCTCAATAACCGCGCGCTGACCCGAGGTCACCTCGCATGCGCCCCGAGGGCAGGAGCCCACACAACCAATCACAGGGCCGCTTACAATGAGCCAGCTCAGTGCCGGCATAGCCCCGAGCGCCACGTGGTCGGCCGGCCGCCGCATGGCCCGCTCGGTGGTCCCGGGTGGCCCGGCCTGCAGCCGCCGGTGCTAACATGCAGAATGAACAGGAAATATCAGAACACAAAGAAAATCCCACCACATATTTTGTGCCTGAATATGTTCAGTAGCGTTTAGCAAAAACAGGAAATTGCAAGCCGGCAATGCAATAAGCCAACATCAAAGACGTACGCTGAATAAGCTTTTCAACGCCAGCGTGAGATGTGGACTCCTTTGAACTGAAAATATCGAAATAACATCTCATCAGAGTCTGCGGCATTCGGGACGAGCTTCCTTATTTTGGCCTTCTCCGGCAAATGGTTCGCATGAAGCGGCGGCCGGAACGGATGGCTAAGCATCTGTGCACTCACTACCAATCTCGCCAAAGGACCGTGCGTAAGTCGGACCATTCGTTTGCGGCGACGAGGAGAAATGGCTGCGAATTCGATCCCATCTAGCTCAACGCAGCACCCTATCTCTCACGGCGGCACTGTCGATTTGCGGCGGCCAGGTTCCGCGCAACAACACTGCCTGCTGAGAAAGTCGCGAAAATCCCTCCGGTGAAAGCCCAGATAGGGATGCGGTGACATCTCTGCGCTGAACGAGGTAAAAAAACAAAACAGTAAAGCGTGTAACAAACATAAGGCAAAAGATAGCATGCATTATACTCTTGTTAGAACTCAGTTAATTTAGTTATCGTCTTTTCGCCCGCTTGTGTCGGCTCGGCCGCCCGTATTTCTCCTCGGCCGACGCGCGTCCGCTGTATTGCGGCACAGCATTTCTCGCGGGAGCGGGGCTGTGCGGCGCGGACTCGTGCAGTGATTGGTCGGCTGCTGACCACGTGATAATGAGGTGAGGTCGGGTGAGGGCGCGCCGGCGGAGGGCAGTCGGGCAATGTCTGTTGTCGCGGCTGGTGCGTTGGGACCTCGAATGTTATATGCGTTTGCTGGGGACGTCGGCAGACTCGTCTGAGAGGCTTGCTGTCGGCTTACTCGGCGACGCATATACATTCGAGGGTCTAAATCTGGGACTGAGTCTGTCCGGCTCGTTCCTCATTCGCCTTTTGGCCCCAACCACCGATAGCACAGCGCCGTGAATATGTAAGCCTTACTAGTCTGAGCGGCCTGTTCGGCGAGCATATTCACGGAGCTGTTCGTAAGATTTGAGCGTGCCTTGCAAGGTCGCTATTTCACACGGCTGTCGGCCTATTCATGGGCGGTATTTTCTTGGGTTTCCTCGAGCGTCTCTCGAGATTCACTAGCATATTTCTCCGCCAGTTGCGATTGGTCGCTGTTCATATCGAGTCCCTCATAGCCGGGTTTTTTTGGCAAGTGATCATCTTGTTTGTCTGGGTTTTGTTGACCAAAAATACATCCGCCTGGTGTATTTATACCGTTCTTTAACTTGGAATCGCAACATAGTCCACCGGGGCCAGATCATTTATTCAGTGGAGGACACAGTCCCCATGGCTACCGGACATTTAATTTGTTGAGTCCACTGGGTAAATTGATGGTTTGTTTTGAACATACAGTCCACTTTGTACTTTGATTTAGTTCCCATTTCACTCAAACATGGAGGAGCTACTGGCTGCTAGGTCGCGTCTCCGCACAAAGGCTACTAAAGCGTGCAACGATCTCCGAGCCTACAGGGAGGGAGATCGGAAAGCGCTAGATCAGGACCAGCTTGCCCTCAAACTCCATCATGTGGAGAAAATCTATGCTGAGTTGCAGGGCTTGCAGGTCCAGCTGGACAAACAGGGTCAAGCCGATGAGACAAATCATGTTCAGACTCTGGAGGATGAGGCTTTCCTCGGTTCTCGCCTCTTGACTCGCCTCGAGAAGGCAGAGGAGGCCCACTTCAGGGCAGAGTCGATGAAGGCAGCTGGTAGCGCCGGTTTGAAATCATCTCTCACCGTGGCGATTCCCACATTCGATGGTGATGTGATGAGATGGCCCGAGTTCTGGGAACTGTTTTCGATTGCTGTGCACGACAACCAGTGCTATGCCAGCGTGCAGAAATTCGTGGTCTTGAGGTCACATCTTGCCGAAGCGGCATTAAGGGCCATCCAGGGCATCCCAGTCACGGGTGACGGGTATGTGCAGGCGGTGTCGGCTCTGAAAGCGCGATTTGACCTCGAGAATGTGCGACGGGAGACTCTCTTGAAGGAGCTGATGAACATGTCATCAGTCCGCCACGGTGACTTGAAGGCCATGCGATCCTTCATAGATCACCTGTCTGCGCACACGAGAGCTCTCAGCACTCTGGGTGTCTCCTCAGAGAGCCTATCCAGCCTGCTGCTGCCCATGGTGAAGGGCAATATCCCCGAAGACTGGCGTCTGGAGTGGGCCCGGCGATCGAGTCACCGCTTTGATGACTTCCTGGTGTTTTTGAAGGAGGAAATTCGGGTCAGAGAGCTTGCTAGGGGCCCGAATAGTGAATGCTCTGCTGTTGACCCACCAGCAACGTTCTCGGTGACCACCAGAGACCTCGACTCTGAACACCTGGCCAGGGAATGTCTGGGCAGTCCGTGTGCTGAGCGTGGCCGCCAGCATCACTCGCTGCTGCATGATACAGGGTTTGTGGCGCAGCGCTCGTCCTCTCCAGCCTCCGAGTTGAGGCCTGAGGCTGAGCCACTGCCGCCTACTGGGCCTTCTGCTTCTGAGTCTTGTGCAGAGGCTCAGACGCACGGTGTTGAGCTGCCCAGTCGTCACCGATATAATGTCAGTTCTACAGGAAAGAGCTTCTTGCAAACCGCTGCTGCTGTGGCAGCAGGTCCCAATGGCCGCACGCCGGCACGTGATCTCCTTGATGGAGGATCTGACGCCTCCTATGTCAGGAGCTCCCTGGCTCAGGAGCTGGGACTACCTGAGAAGGGCTCCGACACATTTGTCTGCATCGGGTTCCATGAGAGAACCGAGCAGCCTTGTACCAATGATCGAGATCAGGTTGACCTTGAAAGTCGTTTCGGTGGACCGTCAGTCAAACTCGACATGAAGAGCACAGACGCGCTGTGCTCACCAACCCCAACTGCTCAGCCGCCTCGGTTGCCGTCTGAGATCCAGACGGCTGATGATTTCCGGGGCGGTGAGGTTGACGTCCTCGTAGCGGCTGATGACGTGCATCAGTTCGTCCTACAGGATCAGTTGGAGGCTGATGGGCTGAGAGCCATCGATACTATTTTTGACTATGGGCTGAAAGGTGGAGACAATGATGGTCTCCACACGAGCCAGTGCCCTTCTAGTCGGCCCGATGCTGCTGACTGGGACGCGAGCCCAACTGGCATTCATGACAATGAGCTGAACGACTCTCGCTCCAACTCACAACTGATGTGGAGTGAGAAGCTCCACGAGCCGCCCCCGATCTGGGGCTCTGACGAGAGGCCGACATATGGCCGCCGCTCCCGGCCGTCGTGGTGCCGTGAGGCGCCCTCGATCGTCGGCCCCCGACCCATCCCGTCGGTGCAGAGGAAGCACCCCGGCGGGATCTGGCGGTGGCATCGGTGGCGCCGTCGAGGGTGAACCCACCGCAACGCGCCCCAGTGAGGTTCATCCCCGAGGCTGTCCCATGGTGGGGAGGCTTTGGGCAGTGATTCGTGGGGTCTGAGAAGCATAGTAGGTTAACTGTAGGATAAGCTTAGTTAAGTGTTTAGATTATTTGGTCGCAGGAAGACAACATAGGCGGTAGCAGGATGGCAAACTCAGTCTGTCGGCTGAGTGCATGGCAGCTTGGCAGCGCCATATTGCCGCTGGATTATGCGATCTGCTGTTCTCGCTACTCACGAATCTTTCTTGTCTTTTTAGTGTCACCGTTGACGTCCTGGAGATGCTTCAGAAGGACGACCACCGGTCGCAGCGGGAGGCCGTCCGGGTGATGGTGATCCTGAACCTGACGTCGGGCGGCTCCCAGGAGCTGGTGGCGGAGCTGTGCCGACTGGGCGCCGCCAAGCCTCGCTGTGACCTGCTGGCCGCCGGGGACGCCAACCTCATCACGGTCTTCCTGGACGCGCTGTCGAACGTGCTGAGGTGCGCCGAGCAGGTGGACCGGGAGGGCACCGTGGCTCTCCAGGTGGATGAGTGCGGCGGCCTGGACCGCATCGAGTCGCTGCAGACGTACGAGGACGAGCCGTCCTCATCATCGGCAGGCACTTCGACGATGACGACGGGGAGGACGCTGAGGTGGCGGCGCCCGCCGCCGCCGCCTCTGGCTTCCAGCTGAGCGTTGACACAGACGCGGCCACGGCCGGTGACCTCTAGTTCTACGGCGGTCTGCGCAGGACAGTCATGGGAGTGGTGCGCCGGTGATGTGCTAAAGCGGACTTTAGTTATGAAAATGGGGCAAGCCCCATTTTGGTGGGGAGTATGTTAGAACTCAGTTAATTTAGTTATCGTCTTTTCGCCCGCTTGTGTCGGCTCGGCCGCCCGTATTTCTCCTCGGCCGACGCGCGTCCGCTGTATTGCGGCACAGCATTTCTCGCGGGAGCGGGGCTGTGCGGCGCGGACTCGTGCAGTGATTGGTCGGCTGCTGACCACGTGATAATGAGGTGAGGTCGGGTGAGGGCGCGCCGGCGGAGGGCAGTCGGGCAATGTCTGTTGTCGCGGCTGGTGCGTTGGGACCTCGAATGTTATATGCGTTTGCTGGGGACGTCGGCAGACTCGTCTGAGAGGCTTGCTGTCGGCTTACTCGGCGACGCATATACATTCGAGGGTCTAAATCTGGGACTGAGTCTGTCCGGCTCGTTCCTCATTCGCCTTTTGGCCCCAACCACCGATAGCACAGCGCCGTGAATATGTAAGCCTTACTAGTCTGAGCGGCCTGTTCGGCGAGCATATTCACGGAGCTGTTCGTAAGATTTGAGCGTGCCTTGCAAGGTCGCTATTTCACACGGCTGTCGGCCTATTCATGGGCGGTATTTTCTTGGGTTTCCTCGAGCGTCTCTCGAGATTCACTAGCATATTTCTCCGCCAGTTGCGATTGGTCGCTGTTCATATCGAGTCCCTCATAGCCGGGTTTTTTTGGCAAGTGATCATCTTGTTTGTCTGGGTTTTGTTGACCAAAAATACATCCGCCTGGTGTATTTATACCGTTCTTTAACTTGGAATCGCAACAACTCTAAAGACGATACTCATTTGAAACAAAGGTAGGTATAAGAAAAATAACTAAGTTTATAGGCAATCCCAGGGCTAAGTTAAAAGCCTCTAGGATCTATTGGACTTTGCAAGCAAATGTGAATGTCGCAGCAACAAGAAAAAACGTTTCATTTAAGTTGTCAAGCTGGGAATTGCGAATTAGGCGGCTTGAAACAGCTTCAATGCTCGCCAAGCGGGGGAGGGATTAAAACTGCCCCAACTGGCAAATATGTAATGGTGAAAAAAACACCGATTACCGAAAACAGTAATTGACTGCCTAGCCTGTTTTTGACGTTTTCAAACATGGTCTGCTCGCATATCCAAACATCTCCAACTTTGCTTTATCTCAAAGTTCCAATGATATCCCTCCCCCCGTCTTTGTTTTCTCAAGTGAATTTCATCACAGCGCTCCAAGTCATAATCAGCCGTGAACTCTTAATGAAAAGGTGGGTGTTTACCACAACACATCAGTGGGCTGCTTCTGCGGGGCTCCGCGGGGAATTTCTTCCTCAAAACATCTAGGAGAGCCTCTGCTCTATTACAGCTGGGAGAGATGATAAAATGAACGAAGGAACCATCATTGCGCAGACATGCACTTATCCTACTCTGAGACCTCCTGGAAGGCCACAAATGTGTGGAGCTATTAGATCTGCTATTTAACATGCCATTTTGTGGCCACCTGTTGTACTGTGCATTGCGCTATCTATATGTCTTAGTCAGTTTGTAATATTTCTACTAATTAGGATGTAAGGCAAGTTGCTTTGCTTAGCATGATTTTGACCTTCCTCTAAAAAATCAAATAGCGTGGTTCTTTTAACTTTGCTTTGCATGTTTCGAAAAAAAATGCAAAAATCGTTTAAATGCTTAGGCGTTCCTGGCATCATTGTCCGTAAATGTGAAAGCAAAATGAATCTTAGAAATCATGTCAGTGACTTAAAGAACGTTCTTGGCTCACCTGATCGGAGTGAACAGCCAGAGGCCGTCTCCTTTCTGGAGGGTCGAAACGCAACCCGGCCACCTCTGAGACAGACCCACTGACCGGCTTACCCACCACACTGACGTCACGACATCAGTGACGTTATGCTGCTTCTGGCGTTTTTAGTGAGCTTGGCTTATCCAATTATCACACACTTGATTCTTCACTCATCGTAAGCTACACCACCACTTCTCAGTTTTTCAAACGGTCTCGCTTTAGCTGCTGACGTAATGACGTAACGTCATCAAGGTCATTGATGATCAGCCTGATGCTCCAAGGCTTGTTTGACAGAGACCTGTCACCACCGCACGCGCAAGGAAGCCCCTGTTCTAGCTTATCACAGGATAGATGTCACGCATCTGTAATTCGGTTCACACTAGCTAAAGTTAGAGATGAAGATGAGCCACTTCAACGACGAAGATGAGCCATGGTAAGGTCGTTGTCAGCATCATGGATCCGCTCACTGTATTCGCTGAGCAACCACAGCCGTGTTCCAGTGCGTAACTTTTTCAGAGAATCATCTCATCACTTCTAACATCACCCGAGCACATCAACATTGCTTCACACAGCTGCACGCAGCTTCTACCTCATAAGTCAAGCTCACTGTTCATTCACACACTACGGCATGCCGACGTAATTTGACATATCGACCTCACTCCAGTGACGTATCGATGACGTCCCATTGACGCATCGATTCAGTATCGATGACGCTTGGATGACGATCGGTTAGGTACGTCCGATGCGCCGCGTCGCTCGTAGCACTGACCTTGACTCGGAACAAAGCCACTCACGGCACCCTTCGGCTCATGTGCCGTCCCTCCAGCACTGCCGGTTGTGCAAATCACCACTACGAGCGCACAACCCTCTCACTGCTCGCTGCTCCTACTCCCAATCTGGCAGCGCGTTGCCAGATCACTGGAGCTAACGCAGCCACATGTGACGTGTGGCCCGCGATAGGCCATGCACCGGTCGCCCCCGGCGTGCCCTGCGGCCATCACGTGACTGTGACGTAAACAGACGAACAACTAGCCCCGCCCCCGCCGCCGGCTGACAGCCCGCTCATCCCCGCACGCTTTGTGTGTGTGGGGGAGGGGGAAGGGGAAGGAGCGGGAGGTGAGCATTAGGATGATGCTTGTGGGCCTGTTGTGAGGGGGGAGGGGTGGTGGGGAGGGAGAATGAGGGTGATGTTTGTAAATCTGTTTATGGACGTGTTTATCCTCCAGTGCGTCGCGTAGAGATATCCTCGGTGAAAGACCTATAGGCTATACCAACACCTCATGGCCAGGAACTCGCCACAACAGATCTCAAGAAGCACTGTTAGCAAGGTGCGATTTGCCGTGCTTTATGTTTATGTGACAACTTAACCCACCTGGCTAAAGGCTGAGTCAGATATCCTCGAGCTTTTAGCTCAATATTGCTCAATGGAAGGGAAACGCTAAAGGAGTAATATTGATAGAAATGAAATAACCAAGGAAACACGAGGTCTGAGGAGACCAGGAAACACTGAATGCCCACCTATTTCCTGACCAAAAACTTAACATTTGCAGTAAACAGCTAGAGAGCGAAAGCCCCAAGCTATGAGCTGAAGAGTATTTCATATCACGATTTAATTATCCCCATCGACGTTCCACCTGCGCGACTTCTCGAGTACAAGTTGCGCGCCTCGGGCGATATACAACTCCTCGCCTGTGCGCTGGTGATTATGCTCGGTTGTTTACCGAAGCGAGACAGCAATAACGCCCACATATGGCACTGGGCACGCGAGAGCAGCTTCAACAGTTGTGCGCCTGCAGCGGTAGGCCATGGCGGTCGGCGGCCAGCGAAAGAGGCAGTCAGTGCAGCGGCCGGAAGAGGCAGTCGGTGCAGAGACTGGCTAAGGCAGCCAGCGGTCGGCTGGGGCAGACCTCAATAAATATCTACGCATGTCCAATGTCCATGCGTGCCTACATCAACAAAACTTGACCTTAGAGATCAGTGAAATGGTCGCAGCCAGTCGCAGCGTGGGGCCCGGTCCTTTACACACGGTATCTGTAGAGCCAGTATAGAGAAATACATAGATATGATATTAGCCACATCACAAAGATGCGGGCGGTCGATAGCGATGGGCCACGGAAGGCTAGTCACAAACCTGCCCTGCAGTCCGGTTAACACGATTGGCGGCATTCAACTATCAGCTGCAGTAGAAACTGCATTTGCGGAATTAGACAGACAAATTGCACAGGCCTCAACTGGAGCACCGTTGTGGAACCACCGATCAGACAAGAGAAGTGTCACCGCACCCTCATTCTGTAATCCTCACGACAGTCCCGTCCGGCAGTCGAAAATGGTGTCCATCCAGTAGAGCTCAGC